CCCCAAAACCCCAAAACCCCAAAACCCCAAAACCCCAAAATACATGAAAATTATTAATATCATGGTTTAATATGTAGTTATACCATTCTCTTTAACAAATCTTGACGTTATCAAAATCATATTTCTTGAGTACATCCTCATGATGACTCTTGGACAATGAGTTTCTACACATTGCAATCTCTCCCAAGTTTTCTTTAAGTAGGGACATTTTCTTAGTCCTTTGATCAAATTCTCAAAGTGAGCGAGTTTTCTTCCCAGTCGCCGTATTTGCAGTCTCCGTTATCGCTTAAGGCAAGAGTCTTGGTGGTGCTGCCAGCCAAGGCTCCTGCAAAATCAAGCACTGAAGCCAGGTCCAGATTGCAATGCATGAGGCTGAACTGCTCAATAGGCTTATTCTGAGAGAACAGAGAGACTAGTTTATCCTGAGTGATTTCAAAAGAGGTCTCTTATATCTCTTTGATTGATTGTTACATAAAAAGCCTGCTCTCTGTCAAAAGGTTCCTATGTGGGACCTATTCTGAATTTATTAGATTTCCCTTTGAAACGGACTACTTCATGTATTCATTTCAAAAGTTTCGGGACTAAAGAGCTTCCTTAATGAATCTTTAGGCATTAAAACTTAAAATTTTAGGTTGAGAGAGTGTACATTCCTTGTAAATTTAGTACTTAATGTGATTTCATGATGTCTTAAAATATTCCAAACCTCTTATGGAGATCAGGCTGGCTTGGGAACAACCAGATACCTGCTTTCAAATTGATAAGACCATAGAATCTTTGTGACTCTTCTGCTCACTTCTCCAAACAGGCTTATGAAAGGAGTAATGGGGCTCTTGTCACCTTGATAATTGAACCAAAACTCTCTGACACTCTTCGGGAAGTTCTTCTTGAAAAATTTGTTTATGCTCTCCGCTTCCTCTGTTGGAAATTCGCATATTCTTAAAGCTTCCAGTTCAGACAATCTCTTGGGAATGGCTTTTAAGAAGGATAAGATTTCTGGGGAATCAAAAGATAAGAAGAACTCAGATTCTTTGGTGAAGCCTTCTTCTAATCCAGGAGGAGAATCATGACAAATATTATGTAAAACTAAACTAGATTAATAAGAAAATAAAATTATCAAATAGAACATTAAATAGAATAAAAAGTATCAACTACTAAACTCAACTCAAAATCATCTTCCAAAATTCTAATTATATGCCAAAAATATATAATCCATATCCAACCTCTCAAGGGGTTTTGGGGTTTTGGGGTTTTGGGG